ACAAACACAGCAAGATTAAGCAACAGACAAGCAATCAAATAAACAGTAAGCAATCAAAGATGTGCTCTGGAAGCACAAATACTGAAACGGTCTTCTGCAACTGTGTCACCAGATGTTTTTTATCTTTAGCTTTCATCATCCCCAATCATAGGTCATGCTGTAGTCCATGTTTAGCTGTAATCCAACAATGTCTAGGGACCAAAGTTTGGGGGAGGCTGTACAAATGCCACAATAACTACAAGCAGAAACACTGAGCAGTAGTTAATTGCTAACGTAGCCCACAATGTATTTTTCATAGTAAGATGCTGGGCTCGCTCCCAGTGCGACGTAGTGGACGTGCACCAGGGAGACCCAGATTCAAATCCTCCCTGAGCCATGAAACTCACTTGCTGACCTTGGCCAGCCGCTGACTTTCAGCCCAACTCTCAGCCTAACCAACCTCACAGGGTTGTTCTGAGGATAAAATTAATAAGGGAGAACCATGCACTCTGTACTTTTAACACCTTGGAGGAAGGCAGGGTGTAAGTTTGGTAAATATATAAGTAAACCTTTCTTCCATCTGTTGCCATCCTTCCAATTCACCTTCCTTTCGAGCTGTTGGATGAGATGGGTCATAAAATTCATAAAGTTATCCCCACTGAGCAGATGCTGGTCAGTACTGAGATTGCAGCCCAATTATGCCTCACAGAAGAGTACAAATTAAAGAACCTATTTTTTAACCTCTTTTCTCATGTGGAACGGACACTGCAAGACACAATCCCAATACACAGTCCAAACTCAGTGGTGGTAGCAATCAGTGTCCAGTGTCCAAGGCATTTCACATGCATTTATTCAGTAAGTCTCACATCAACCTTGCATAAGGTAGGTCAGTATCATGGTCCCCATATTGCAGGGGAGGGGCTGATGAAGCTCATAGTGGCTTTCCAACGTCTACCTCATGACTCAGTTTTGATGTAGGAACGTATTGGTTCACATCCGGTTCTCTTTGCCATTGTGCCACAATACCTCTGCATTCAGGCCTTTAGGCGCGAGCCATCTGCCTAGCTTTCTGCAGCTTTGATCCATCCGCTTGATGTGGAATTAAAGAATGGCAGCTTAGAGAGGGAAGTGGCAATCTCCGACACCACCCTGGACCCCTTTAACTAATTGCTTCAGTTTTCATCGCAAGAGAAACAGGACAACAGCGAGCTTCCAGTGGAAGCTTATCAAAGTGACAAGGGCCCTTCCTGCTTCAACAGCATAGTCACAAAGGAGTGAGGGCTGCTGAAGATGACAAGGCTGCAGAAAGTGGGCTTCCAGGGGCGGTGAGGGCAAGAGAATATTCTTAGAACAGGGGCGGGGTGTTGTCTTCCAGATGTTGCCAGACTACAGCTTCCATCATCCCTGGACATTGCTCAGGCTGGCTGGGACTGGTGAAAATCAAAATCCAACAATGTCTGGCCACAGACTTCCCCACCCTACCTTAGCGTAAGAAACACTGCATTGCAGGGAGAAGTGAGCTCTTGGGATAGTCAAGTTTGAAGATTCCTGCTACAGACTTTTCCCCTTTTCGTTTGCCAATTCCACCAAAACAGTGAGGCATCAACTCAAGGATTTTGATGGAAGGTTTCCAGTAACAGCAGAGCACTGTTTCGTCATACTGTTACATCTGATTTGGATGTAAGCAGAAGTGAAAAGCAAGCACTTTGGTATCCGCCACCTGACTTGTCATTTGTGGGGAGGTGTGTAAGCCATAAAGTATCATGCTAAGGGTTGGGGAAAAGAAAGTGTGCACAAAAACAAAACCCACCTTCATTTTTTTCATGCATTTTAGTGCTTGCTTAGTGCTTGTGTAAACCCAATCAATCCTGGATCACGCAGTTAATATGAGGATATCACAGCACCGCATAGCCAATCAGATTTGGCTGTGTGACAATGTGGAGAGTAAACAAAGTCCTCTCGTTGCCCCATGACTGCCTGGTGGAGAGGAAATCCACCAGTGTTCTTGCCCAGCCACCACTCCCTGGCTGCATTCAGAAGTCATGTCAAAGTAATGATTTGTCATTAAGAACCATGGATACCTGCTCCCTCCTCCTTCATGCATGTGGAGGGTTTATACGCTTCTGCTTCTTAATGACAGAAAACCATAGTTTGCCATTTCATCCAAATGTGGCAAATCATGGTTTGCGCAAACCATACCTTGCAATCAAATCAGGAGTCCGCACAACAGTTTGTTCCTGGTTTGGGACCCTCATTTCCCCAATACTTACATGTTTGCTTCTGGTATTGTGGGTAGGCTCAAAACGTACCTGGAAACTGTGTTCTCTCCCTCCTGAAAGCACCACCCCGCTTCATAGCTTACAGGGTGCAGAAGGCAACACATTCTGAAAGATACCTTGAGCTTTGAGCAGCAGTGGAATGTCAGTCACTACTGCAGTTATTTGAGATTGAGAACCTGGGGGTTGTGATAAACCTCTGGATTACAGGCACCTCCATCCATCCCCTCTCCCCTCTTTTTCTACCAGTTCTGCCAAAAGTTACAAGTATGAATGTGGTATCGAGATTGCCAGCACGGTGGGGAGCCTGATTGATTTTGCTTGGCTGAGCATGTTAAGAATTGGATTTTTCAGCATTTCTATGCCATTGGGAGGGCAAGAAAAGGTTTGCTTTTGTTTTGTGAGGATTGTGTGATTTCGGTACACTTTCAGAACTGAGAGCTCTTTTAAAAAGAAGGAAACTGAATATGGCAGTTCTCGATTTGTGATGGATAGGAGCGTGATTACTGGGGTTTCTGCTCTGAGCTTATTGCACTATAGTTCAATGCACTGCTGGCTAATTACACTTACTGGAGATGCGTTAATGATACACCTGTCACTATCACTGTGTGACAACCCAAAGGCAAGGAGCTGCCTGATGAGTAATCCCAGCATTGACCTGGGTATATTATCTTGTGCTTCATTTTTTTTGTCAAGCTGTATTTCCAGAACCTCGAGATTTATACACAAGAGGTGGCCTATGACACCACAGATGGGAGGGGCAGCAGCTGTTCCCCCACCCACCCAGCATTCAGATATATTTGTGCAGGATGCTTGCAAAACATTTTTATTCAGGGCTGCTCCACACATGGATGGATATTACTTCCATGTAGGAAAGTCGTATGCACATTACCACTTGCGGCAAATAGACACATGCTGAGAAACTGCGAGTGGCAGCAGGGTTCCATCATGTGTGTGATGGATTCAGCCCATTAGGTTTGACCTAAAGGACTGCGGGCAAACAGAAAGTAGTCGCTCGTCCTCTACTGCAGTCCTTCATCTGAGCTTCCACAAGTCTTTTTGAGCAGTATTATGAAGATAGGGTCCATGGCAATGCAATACTCAATTTAAGGTGAGGCTTCCTGTGAGTAGGTACCATCTGTGTGCTGGAGTATTCCTAAATCCTTCTCTGTAGTGTTTTTTGGGGAAATGAGACTAGTTTTCTACCTCTAATAGAGAAGTGAATCTACTGTATGTGTCCATTAACGTTTGTTTAATGGAGCAGATCCAATTTAGCTCAGCTGATTGACTATCATAGATGCAGAGGATCATCAGACATATGAATCTGTCATATGGTTTCTCTCCATGGAATATTTTTGTGGCTCTTGGCCAATTACAGAAAGACGTGTTTTGTTTTAAAGGTAGGAGGTGTTTCTGATCAGGGGGAAAAAATAACACGACTTTCTTAGCAACTACCCACATTAATATTTGCTATATGGATTCCACACTGTATAACCACAAGATATTAGTTTCGTAATAATTGTTCAGGTTCTGTACCGTTTAAAATTACAGAATTTATTTTTATGAACTGGCATTTTTGCCAGTACTGGGCTACAGGATGGTCACTGACACATATTCCACTATCAGCATATGGAATATGCATCATGGATTGCAAAAGTGTAAAATGCATTCCTGTCAAAGATCTTTTGAAATGGGTTATGTGCGTTATTATGAGCTATTGTGTTTTTATGAAGCTCATATATAGAATAATTGCAAACTTTACAACCTTTAGAAGACATCTGAAGTCAGCCATGTATTAGGAAGTTTTTAATGTTCAATGTTTTATTGTTTTTTTACATGCTTGAAGCCACCCAGAGTGGCTGGGGGGCAATCCAGTCAGATGGGTGGTATACTATTATTATTATTATTATTATTATTATTATTATTATTATTATTACGGTATTATTTATTATTATTATTATTCCTGTGAGGAAAAGCCATATATTTTCCTTAGCTATATATGCATATCTAGCTCAATTGCATATCATTACATAAACTTTGGCATATATGGAGCCAGTAATAATTGGAATAATAATAGTAATTCTTTTATTTTTATTTTTATTTTTATTAGATTTGTACAGTGCCCTATACCCGTAGATCTCAGGGCAGTTTACATCATACAATTACAGTATAAAAACACAAAATACATAATAAAAAAAAGAACAGAAACAGAGCAATAATCTGCCCTTCCACAATACATTTAAAGGGGCATCGTTTTAGTGTGTACTAATCGGTTGGGGCAGCCACACACAAAATAAGTGGAGGACAAGATGGCCAGATTTTAATTGGCAGAAAAGATGATGCAGGTGAAAAGGTGAAAATCCCTCCACATCGCGGCTGTGTTCCAAAGAGGGACCTCCCACCACTGCTTTCAGCTTTAAAAAATCAAACAAGATATCCCATTCACAGAACTCCAATGCCAAGTCTGGCTCTAACATAGCCAGAAAAAGTGTTTGAAATGACTGGCTATAAATGGATGAGCAAATTTAAGCTCATAGTGGATATTGCAACTGCACTCGAGTGACTGAAGTCCCTTATTCTGACCTAAGTAGGTGATGGTTCCTTGATTGTGGCTTCCCCGTCGACTTGGTTATAATGAGAGTGAAATGCACGACTGCTCTGTGGTGCAGTGGCTGGTGGACCTTCAAATATCCCTGATCACTATGCCTGAAACTACCTGAATCCAAGGGTGATGACCTAAAGCTTTTTATTCTCTTATATTTCAGCACCAAACTTGGCAATGCCGTTTGGATGCGTTACCCTGGGCGATAAGAAGGATTATAACCAGCCATCTGAGGTGACTGACAGATATGACCTAGGGCAGGTCATCAAAACGTAAGTCTTTGCTCCTCCTTGCTTTCAAAGCTCCTTCCAACTCTATGCATCCTATACAAATGGCACTGGTTGCCAGTTGGGTACTTGTCATGTGAAAGGGTAGTTTCCATTGCAATGACTCCATTTGTCAATTGCAGTCAACAGACAAAGCTGAGACTTAGGTCTGCCCCTCTGTCGCCAAGAGCCATCCAGGTCCACAGGAATGGTAAAGCTTGAATGAACCACAATGTAAGGTATACAATACCATATCCATATTGCCTAAAGAAATTGTCTGTTAAGGCCATGGCCCTGAACAGCAGCAATTCACTGGCCTTTTGGAGCTTAAGTGAACATGGAAACTGAAGGGGTTCTTTTTTGTTAATAGAATTCAACAAACAGGTATCTAAACTGCTGCTTATTACAGGTGTAGGATTGCTGACCAAGGCAACTCCCCACATCACGTTCTCCCCTCTTTCCTGCCCTACAGCTTTGTTGCTGGCAGGGAATAGGAAAACACACAATTTGAGCTTGCACTACACATTAAGTGCAGCCAAACAATATGGGGAGAGAGGGCTATTTTCAGTGGCTACCCATGTCTCCTGTAATGGGTCACCTAGCGCACACAGTCATAGTAATTTTCCGTACTTAGACAGCACATAGTTCTGCTGGTTAGGCTTTGTGGATTAAGCCAATAACCACCCATTGCAGACCAGGAGGTGAGGACTCGTGTTGAAAAGGCAGTGGCTTGCCCAAATGGCATACGGGCTGCCCACACAATCCCACATGCATACAACAAATGTGTTTAGGAGGGAGTGGAATCACAGTGGCAAGCCCTAGTCGCATATTTTTTGTACATTTTTGAGGTACCTATGGATGCAGATGCATACACAGAAGCTGAGACTGTGTTTATCTCCTGCCACTTGTACAAATCTCTACGTGTACAGTTTATAAATTTATACACACATAGGCAAATGTATGTGCATATGGTAGGGGCAAAGCTTGTTAATGCAACCCTGCTCCTTTTTATGTGCACACATTATAAACATGAGACTACTAGACTCATTGTGAGTTTAAGTTGAGATTTGAACAAGGGATTTCCTGGCTTGCAGCTCACATACTTTTTTCAGAAGATATTATCCAGGGCCAACATATTTGGGTACTAAAAGGCTTTGCTTGCACTCTCTCTTCAAGGTTCTTTTCAGCTTCCCCCCCAGGTACTTGTTGACTTTAGGTCTAGTGCCAGTATTTAGCCTTAGATGAAGTTTACCACCCTCTTTAGGCTGCACTGCCAAACAACCCAATTCTGAGAAGACCTGGTCCTGGTGCATCAAGAGACTGTAGCAGCCTCACACCAGTCATGGGTGGGAAGGGCTGTAGCTCAGTGACAGAGCAACTGCTTTGCATGCAGAAGGTCCCAGGTTCAACCCCTGGTGTCTCCTGGTTATACTGGGAGGAAACCCTGGAGAGCAGCTGCCAGTTAGCATAGACAATACTATGGGCCAATGGGTCTGACTCAGTAAAAGGCAGCTTCCTATGTTCCTCCACTGAACATGAAAGGAAATAGTGTGAACCATTTGGCCAAGCTCACCATTTCTTATGTTAGCACAGGCTTATAGCCGGTTGCTCCTCCTTAGCTTTCTTCCTGCCCCTGCCCCATGCCTGGACTTCTCCAAGAGCAATCACATTTTGGTGGGACCTGGGATAGAGTGCTTGAATTTGGCATGCATCTGTTAGACAATATGGTAGATGGATGTATACATCACTCTTGAGAGGGTGGGTGACTCATGAAGTTAAGGTATATGTGGTCCCTCTTGGGCTGCTTCATCTGCTGGGCATGGACTACTTAAATCTGAAGGTGGGTGTTCTTTCGCCAGAGAGGAGTTCTGTGAGATATTCCGTGCCAAGGAGAAATCAACAGGGAAGCTCTATACATGCAAGAAGTTTCTGAAAAGAGATGGGCGCAAAGTGCGGAAGGCAGCAAAGAATGAGATCATCATCCTGAAAATGTGAGTTGTGAATGTCCACACTGATTGATACACTAGCCTCTGCTTTTTTCAGCTGCTGTGTTGCTATCTTTTTACTAATTGTGGTAGATAATCATAGTGTGTCCACATCCGCTGCAGCAAGAAACTATCTGGACTTTCTCTAATTCTCTAGAATGGCTCCTACATTGACCTAGGCATTGCCAATATTTTCAGGAGGAACTGGATGTGCACAGCACTGATTGGCCAGCCCGTGCCTCAAATGCAAAGCCACATTCCTCACTCGCCCTTCTTCAAAGCAGGGTCCTCAAATGGAGTCACAAAGCCAATTCTTGAAATAGGTTCTTAAATGTAACAAAATAAATGTAAAAAGACCTTGAAAATTAAATACCAGTCAGATGTTTGGGCAGAGAAAACAAACAAGCTCTACTGGTGCCATGACAAGAGCAAAACTGGCAAGGAAGCACAACACAACTCACAGCTAAAACAACCAACAGCAGAGCGCCTATTCCTATTTGAAAGCTCATCTCTACACAGCGTTAATAGCTCTTTTTTAAAAAACAACAACTATTGGCATTGTACACTGGCACATCTGATCCCAGATCATGTGCCAGATAGCTTATCCTGCCTATAGGTGATATACAGTGTTAGAGTAAACTCACTGGGTGGAATTCAGCATCACACTATTACAAAAGCTCCATCTGTGCAGGAATATCAGCTTGCCAGATTGAATGAACCCCCTCCCCCCCCACTGTCCTGAGGCTTCTGACAGACAGACAGACAGACAGACAGACACACACACACACACACACACACACACACACACACAGCCAGGAATGGGGGCAAGTCCCATTGCACAAACAAGAGCCCTTCTGCTTCTTGGGGTTAATGCTAATGGGGTTCATTGGGTGACTCTTGCCCACTGAAACCCAATAACTTAAGTTTATTGCTTTCAATGGCTCTGCTCTGCAAATGGCAAACTTTGCATGTCACTCTGTATGAGTGAGAGGGAACCTTTATCAGAATGAGGGATATACTTCCTTCCAAGCAACCTTGCCTTTAGTGGGCCCTGCCGTCATTGCAGTCAGAATTGGGGGAAGAGGAGGGGGCTTTGCCTTCTGTTCTCAGTGAGAAACTACCATGGGTGCCCATGGGAAGTATCTGGAGTACTGTGGCCACTGATGATCCATGAAGGATGCTGACAAACAGGAAAAAAAGATTTAGAGGAGAGCTGCAGAAATGATTGAGGCTTTTGAAGGATAATTCAGTGCTAAAGGAACATGGTGCATTCTGTCTCAAAAGGAGATTATTAATCTATCCCAGGCATAGGCAAACTCCGGCCCTCCAGAAGTTTGGGACTACAATTCCCATCATCCCTAGCTAACAGGACCAGTGGTCAGGGATGATGGGAATTGTAGTCCCAAACATCTGGCGGTCTGGAGTTTGCCTATGCACTATCCATTAAAGGGTCCTTATTTACCACATCCACTAAGGGAAGAACAGGGACTCAGATTTAATAATAAGGAACAAGATTTAGGTTACAATGTACTGTACAAATAAAGGTGATAGCATTCCCCTTGGAAGTTTTCAAGTAAAAGTTGAGCAGGTACCTGCCAGAAATACTTTGGCAACAGGATCTATGCCATATGGCAGCAGGTCTCTTCCAACCCTTAGTTTTTCTCTTCCTTTCCTTTCCCTACAGGGTGAAACACCCCAATATTCTGCAGTTGGTGGATGTGTATGTTACCCGGAAAGAGTACTTCCTCTTCTTGGAGCTGTAAGTAGTTGTTACCCAGAACTCCCAAGATGTCGCATACATAATGGCCTCTCCCTTTTGCTCTGCTGGGGCCTTGGACTGCTCTACTGTGCCTGCAAACCATCTTGTCGGCACTTCACAAGGTGCCTTCCCAAAGTGTGATCAGAAGCTGCTTCAGGAGACCATCCATAAAGAGGGGCATGAATATTTATTTCCTCTTCACTTGCTCTCCACGCCATTCATGAATTTCTGTACATTTGAGGGAATAGTTGTAAAACATCTGCTTTGCATGTAAAAGGTCCCAGGTCCAATCCCAGATCTAGGTAAGGCTAGGAAAGACCGCCCTCTGAAACCCTGGAGAGCTGCTGCCACTCAATGTTGACAATACTGGCCTAGATGGATCAGTGGCCTGACCCCAGTAAAGACAGCTTCATCAGCTCCATTTTATACTCCAGTCATGGTTTATCTTCTTTCTTCTTCTTCTTTGGTGATCACTCGTACCCGAGTAAAATTGTTTTCCATAAACACGGTTTTAACAGTGAGTCCTGTAAGTGACTGTGGAGGTCAATTCTGGATCCACACGTCCTTCCACAGCGGGGACATACCGGTAAGTTTCCAGGCGGGAGTTGATCATGGTGAGGGTTTGCCAAGCGTGCCTTCCTCTTACCACATTTCTCCTTTTCGTCCTGAGTTTGAGCATCTTCAAAACCCATGACACCTTCGGTAAAGGCTGTTCTCCAATTGGAGCACTCATAGGCCAGTGTTTCCCAGTTGTCAGTGTTTATACTACATTTTTTTAGATTTGCCTTGAGAGAGTATTGGAACCTCTCTGGTTGACCACCAGCATTACGCTTTCCATTTTTAAGTTCAGAATAGAGTAGTTGCTTTGGAAGACGATAATCAGGCATCCAAACAACATGACCAATCCAACGATGTTGATGTTGAGGAATCATTGCTTCGACACTGGTGATCTTTGCTTCTTCCAGTACACTGGCATTAGTTCGCCTGTCTTCCCAAGTGAAGTGGTAAAAAATTTCAGTCATGGTTTATATGACCTGTTTAGCAAAATTGTGGTGAACGTGCTTCTCTGTCCATGGTTTGGCAACCCTTGCCTTGCAGGTTACACAATTTCACGTCTTCCCTTGCCACTTTGTCTCTCTTCTCTCATCTGCAGGGCTACTGGCCGAGAGGTATTTGATTGGATCTTGGACCAGGGTTACTACTCTGAGCGTGACACCAGTAATGTCATCAGGCAGGTGCTGGAGGCTGTGGCATACCTGCATTCACTCAAGATTGTACATAGGAACCTCAAGGCAAGTCCGTCAAGCCTGCTGCTAGCCTTTGCTGCACAAACGTCTGAGCCAATTATCCATCCCATCCTCATGGGCTCTCGCTTCCTCTAAGAAGCAGACATAAGCAAATATAATAATGCTGCCCTTCCTATTCCGTTCTTTCTCACTGTTTTCTGTGACTTACTGGCAAATCCCATTCATGATTCTATATACAGAAATAGAAGCAGACCCATCCTAAATACCTTGCTTTGCCCAGAATAATTTACATATATATATATATATATATATTCTGTCCTTAAAAGAGAATTCAAATAAAAGATGTCATAAAAAATTCCAACAGCAGCAGTGATTCATAGAATCAAGCAATCAGCAAGGGAAAAACCTTAACATAGCACATGGGAGGCAAAATGAAGAAGCTAAAAGCTGATTGTTTAAGAAGGCTTTTAACTAGGCGCCTTAAAATATACAGGGTCAGTGCTTGATGGCTGTCATCTGGAAGGGCCCTCTGTGTGGCACAGCACTGTGGGCAGGAGGGAGCCATTCAGCAGTTTTGCCTGGGGAATTGCTTTTTCATTCATCTTTTCCCCCACCCCTTTCCTGGTGTCCCTGCAGCTAGAGAATCTAGTGTATTACAACCGCCTGAAGAACTCAAAGATTGTGATCAGCGACTTTCACCTGGCCAAGCTGGAGAATGGGCTCATCAAGGAACCCTGTGGGACCCCTGAGTATCTAGGTAAGAGATGGCACAGTCAGCACAACCAGATGATGTTTTCATGGAAGGACCCAGTATGTGGGGGGAATTATACCCATATAGTATAAAGTCCACCAGGGACTTGCCATCTCAGACGCCAATGCCTTTTTTCAGGCAGATGAAATGCAGTAGGTGCTTATTTCTCCAGGAAACTCATGCCTTTGAGATTAGCTTGTAAGGTTTCATGATGGAAAAGGCAGACCCAGCCACAGCTAATTTCATATTCCATCGAAAATAACATTCCTGCTCTCCACAATTCTCACACAAGAGACACTCATTCATTCAAAGCCATAACTGCTGTTTGATGAGACATCTAGTGCAATTCCCCTAGACTCCCAGCGAGAGGGGAGTGAGTGTGGCTCACTGGAAGATGTGAGGGGTGTTTCCAGGGTGGCTCACTCATGACATGGGTGTTAAATGCTCCTGAGATGTTGATATCTTTGGGGACAGTTTCATCTCTTATTAAAACAACAACAACCCAGTTCTACCTCTCTAAACCTGCAGCACATGGGACCCTGTCTGTCAGGGCGCACTAGTTCTGTTTGCAGGGAAGTGTTATAGGTTCAAATACACAGTCCTTCCAGCTGCTTTCAGAAGTAGAATAGTCCCAAAGATGACTGCACCAGGTCATATTTTATCAGTGTTGATATCCACTCCGATCAAGGCAAAGTTTCTGAAATCCTATGTCCTGGAGTTGTGTTTCATTGCCCTATATGTTCATGGGAGCAGCACTTGCCATCTGTTCTTGTCCTTGCAGCTCCTGAGGTGGTCGGGCGCCAGCGGTATGGACGGCCTGTGGACTGCTGGGCTATTGGTGTGATCATGTATATTCTGTAAGTAAGGAGCAATGAAGAATACTGGAGTCCTCAGCCTATCATACTGGCGACTGGGGTGGGGTGGAGGAGGGTCAGAAAACAGAATAGATATGAGGAGGCTGGTGGCTAAAGAGAAGGAACTAAAAGCTATCTACTGGAGAAGAACCATTCTCAGCTCTTAAAAGGGCAAAAGATTGTGTATGGTCAGAGGCTCCACTCAGTGGCAAGACTGTACACCTACCATTTCATATGACTGTCACTGCGATCAGTTAGATTTGCAGGCATGACAGGGCCTTTTTGGTAGTAGCCCCATGAGTTTTAAGTTGAGGGGTGCATTTGCAGGCTTTAAGCAGACATTAAAAATTCATCTATTTCAGATGGCTTTTTCATAAAATATGTTGTGGTCTCCTGAGTCTTTATTAGGTTTTTAAGGCAGCAGTTTGATTTCATCCCTTCAGGATGTCTCCACTGTCTCTCAAGACTGACAAATGCCAACGACAAAAAGGCTTAGCTTGTTTTATATGGTCTTTAATATGGTGATTTTATGTTTTTTATTTTTGGTATCGTATAATGTTTTTGTTTCGTTTTTAGCAATATGTCTGTTGTTATTCAGTTTTATAGGAAGACACCTTGTTGCCCTAAAAGGCAGCTTATAAACCTTTTCAATAAATAAATCTCTTGCAGCTGATCTCCTTCCTATAGCTAATTTCCCCTCCTACCACTGTGCTACAGGTTGTCAGGAAACCCACCATTCTATGAGGAAATGGATGAGGATGATTATGAAAACCATGATAAGAACCTGTTCCGTAAGATCCTGGCAGGCGACTATGAGTTTGATCCTCCCTACTGGGATGACATCTCTCAGGCAGGTAAGGTTCTATGAATACTGGAGAGAAGGAAAACACATGCTGTTACTTGTAGGAGGTACACCCACAAACCATGAGGGGAAATACAGTGTCAACGGTTCCTTTATCCAATCAACAGCATTCCCACCTAGCAGATGCCCTGCAACAATAAACTCCTACCTGATTCTCCCAGTCATGTAAGTCTCAATAAATGTCAGTGCCATTCTAGGGGAGGTAACTGTGATCTCTTCCTTGGCTGATTTGTGCCCCTAGTAAAGGACCCCTGACCATTAGGTCCAGTCGTGGCCGACTCTGGGGTTGCGGCGCTCATCTTGCTTTACTGGCCAAGGGAGCCGGCGTACAGCTTCTGGGTCATGTGGCCAGCATGACTAAGCCGCATCTGACAAACCAGAGCAGCGCACGGAAACGCCGTTTACCTTCCCGCTGGAGTGGTACCTATTTATCTACTTGCACTTTGATGTGCTTTCGAACTGCTAGGTTGGCAGGAGCAGGGACCGAGCAACGGGAGCTCACCCCGTCGCGGGGATTTGAACCGCCGACCTTCTGATCGGCAAGTCCTAAGGCTCTGTGGTTTAACCCACAGCGCCACCCGCATCCCGCTGTGCCCCTAGTACCTCCCTCATAAAGAACCGAATTAGGTATTAGGCAAGAAAAATCACAGGAGACTTCCAGTTGCATCTGATGAATGGTAGTGAGAGGAGACACTACATCCTTTTCTTCTTTGTTTCTCCAGCCAAGGACTTGGTGGCCCGTCTAATGGAGGTAGACCAAGACCAGAGGATTACAGCAGAGGAGGCTATTTCTCATGAATGGTGAGTGCCAAATAGCTGTTCCTGGTAAAATAAGGGTTTCCTATCAAAAGAAGGACTTAGGACCAAGGAGAATGGGAGGAAACACAGAGAGGTAAGATGTGTAAGGTCTTTATACTCTTAAATTGTCTTCACGCCCTAGGAAAGCCACTGAAAATCCTAAGCAGGGGTAGCCAACCTCCAGGTGTTTGGAATACAACTCCTACTGGTCTCAGCCACCACAGCCAATGGTCAGGAGCAGTGGGGATATTAGTCCAAGCACATCATCTAGAGGGCACCATGTTGGCCAGCTTCTGCTATTGGATAAAATAAGTAGAAGCTGGTGAAGGGAGAAGAAACAAGGTGTTTCAGATGTTATAAGCACTGAAAATCTAGATTGGTTTGAGCAGAGGCCAGGGCATTCATGGTAATTGCTGGCGTGGAAAGTTGCCTTCCCATTTAAGCCCCAACAGTACAGGCCGGTGAGCAAAGCTAAGGAAGGAAGTTAGGCTAAGGAAGGGTAATTGCCAAGAGACATAACTCATTGTCATATTTTTTCTGTTCTCAGGATTTCTGGCAATGCAGCTTCGGACAAGAACATAAAGGACGGAGTATGTGCTCAGATTGAGAAAAACTTTGCCAGGGCAAAATGGAAGGTAAGGTCCCACGTACTTGGTGCTGCCAGCAAGAATCCTCTTTTGCACTTGAGAAAGTTTGAGATAGCCTCAAGAGAGGGGACACATCCCGGGCCTTCTCAGTCTGTCTCCAAATCTCCCCTACTTTGTCATCCCTTATGGGCATTGGTTTTATTTGCATAAGGCCGCACAAATATGCAAAGAATTAAGGCTAGCCTCACTGCAGTTTGGTAGGAAACAGAAATGCCATTGTCCATTCCTCACTACATTTATAATAGTGGTAGAGCAACTATAGTGTTGAGGATGGCTAGAACGATTTCAAAAGGGAAAACCCAGACTCAAATCCCCTTTCAGCCATAAAGCTTGCTAAGTGGCCTTGAACACACCCGTCACACAATTAGCAACTGAATGGCTTTTCAACAATAAATTGCAGGCATGGGCCCCATCCACATCATAACTTTTCGCCCCCTGTTGCAGTCCCAGTCAGGATGCACCTGCAATTCGCATGGAAAGTGGGACGCACCCATTGGGGTGAATGCTAATTACATGAATGGACCTTGTCTAATTTTACCATAAGTTAAACTGACACTTCGTTAGACTTAAAGAATGGCAGGAAGCAATTAATAATTTCTGCCAGAGTTGTAATCTATTAACTAACTATTGGAAGAGGGCTTACTACCAAAATATTGATCAGGAGATGTTGACTTCATGAATATTGTATAGACTTTTGCGAGTGATATGTTGGTCTCCTGGTTGTGTTGAAGAATATATTGGTAGAACCTGGAGAATCTATATTAGCTCAAATACTGATAAGATGTTAATATTTTGAATAACTTTAATACTTCATAAGTACTTTGTATTAATTGCATTTTACATTATTAATTTTCATGTAATATTCATCTGTACCTTAATTATTTTTTATAAACCTTTTTATTCTTTGACATCTTAATCTTCCATGAAATTTTGCCTTTAACTCCTCTATTAATAATATTTATTAACTCTATGGCTTATGACTTTTATACATACGGTACAATGTTCTATCTATCTTTAAAAAGAAACTTTAGCGATTTGGATGAGGAAAGTTGTGTATCCCACTCGGGTTCTTCTTCCTTGGTAGTAATGGCACATGAAGAGTCAGTTTCCCACTGGATATTCTGGAATTTTTACTTCTAGTCCTCAGTGAAGCATCCTTTCTCACTGAGGACTAGACCACCCACCACCACCTCTGCCTTCTCCTGCCCAAATGGACTTTTTTAAAAAAAAGTTTGGGCAGGGAAGCAGGAGGCAACATACAGGGGCTTTTGGGAAGTATACCACTGGAATACTCAGAAAGACTTGACCTTTCTCAGGGACATTCCCATAGAAAACATTGCCATAGCTAAAATGTAAATTGGATGTTATTCCCTGCCCCAACATTTTTTTTAATTGAGGCAGGGGAGGAGTAACATTCAGGGACCACCTCTAGCTTTTCTATATATATATTTTATAAAATATATTTATTGAAGTTTTGAATAAACAATACAAACTTCACAATCAACCAAAGAAAAAACACATCATCACAATCACACAAAAACAGAAAAATACAATAGAAAATACAAACAAGGTAAAAAGAAAAAAAAGAAAAAAGATATTAAAAAAAACATAACAATCCAATTTTTTACTTTTTGTTCTTATAACCTTCTTTTCTGACTTCCTCACACACCCCTTTTCTGTGTTCCCTTTTACAAACTCATATTCAGCAGTAATTTACCTTCTTTCAAATCTTATTCTGTATTATGCTTTTCAAGCTATTATGTCTCCAATTTTTCCTTTCCTTTTAAATCCATTTTTACCTAATCCTTATAGCTTAATCCCTTTGTGTCATATAGTTTACATTTGACATAATATTATTCAATTTTTCCACCCTTATTTCTTTAAAACATTTTATACATATTTCTTTCAACTATGTCACTAATGCCATATTATCTTTGCAACCTGTGCATCATTTTAACATTCAAACATTTTGCAATGTCTTTGTAGGTAGTCTTTGAACTTCTTCCAATCCTCTTCTACTAACTCTTCTCCCAGGTCACCTCTAGTTTTTCTATAATTCAGAAAATTTTGTGGACTAAAAAAAAAAAGAGTAAATTGGTTAACTTCCGTTTCTGAATACTGCTAGCCTTCAGTAATATGGTCAAGAAGTCATACAATTGGATCAGTCATCATGAAATGAAATAAAGCTCACAGTACATTTTGGGGCCTAGCTGCTTTCTTTCTCATGCTTTAGCCTTGAGCTGCCGTTATAGACAGTGTCTCTTCTCAAGTTTGTCTGCAGTCACAAGAACTGAAAGCACACTTATAAATAAAGCTGAGATTCTCCAGTGTGAACATGCTATAATTATATATAATTTTGTGTGTGTGCGTGTGTGTGTGTGTGTGTATACAAGCCAAGGGTTTCATAAGATTTTGAATTAGTGACATCAAATTATAGAGGGTAGGGTACAAAGGAAGCAGGATGGAGGTGTTGCTCCTATTCCTTCTCCCCACAATAAAACTGCAAGAGGCCATGAAACATTACCAACGAACAACCCCCTTTCTCTCGCCTACCTGCAGAAAGCCGTTCGAGTGACCACAATGATGAAGAGACTCCGAGCGCCGGAGCACACGGATGCAGTGAAACCAGCAACTCCTGCCGCTGCCACGACAGACAGTGCTTCCCCAACAGAGACCACCAGCGCCCCACAGGCAAAAGCGGAGGCAGACAGCACGGCTTCAGCCACAACAGCCGAAGCAGCCCCAGCGACAACAACGGCAGCGCCAGCTGCTGCTGCTGCTGCAGGAGCAGCAGTGAGCCCAGAAGAAACAACGTCAACAGCTCCAGCAACTACGGCAGAAGCTCCGGCGACAACACCGGCAGCCCCCACTACGTGTAACGGGGGAGAAACTGCCGCCCCCAGTGCCACCCCAGAGTCCTGGAATGAGGAGACTGGCTGAGTCAGAGGGGAGCAGGGCAAGGGCAAGGGCAGGGCTGTACCTCTCTTTGTTGTATTTCTCTTTGTAAATAGTCACTGGCATGGTACCCCCACCCCCCCAACTGTCCTGGCTTCCCAACCAACCCCTCTGCGTGTGGCTGTCAGTTTGTCTGACTTCTATGTGTCTCCAGCTAGGTGGCATCAGAGTTTCTATTTTTTATGTGACAGAGTCCAGAGAGACCCCGTTGGGCCCAGGTAAACAACAAGTGGTTGTAGAGGCCTAGCCCATTGCATGAAATTCTCTCTCTTTCTCTCTTTCTCTCTCTTCCCCGCTCCCTCTTTTCCTCCGTTGCTTTCCTTTTCTTTGTCCCATTTCTCAATTTGTTTTCTTACTACTCTCTCTCTCGGTCACTTGACTTGCTACTTGGTTGGGAGAAGCTGGAGCAATCAGATCAGACACAGTAGCCACACTTTTCAGCCGACTGGTTTGTTATATACCATGGAGGTATGGGGAATGGGATGCAGGTCCAGGTCAGGTTGGAGGATAAAGAGGGCCGCACACTGTCATGGCAGAGCTCTCAAATTAGTCATACCCATTGGAGATGCATGTGGAATTCATCTGTTCAGCTGCTGGCAAGATCTTCTGTAGCAATTTACCTCTATGTCCAACGTATGGTTGTGTGTGAACAAAGCTAATGCAAAATCCATGTGAGAGTGTGTGTGCATTTGCTAGACTTTTCAATGAACTGTCGATACTGAACTGTCAACACAACTGGGGTGTAGCTATCCATATATTTGTGCAGAAGCAATTTTCCCTGGGGGCAGGAGACAACCCTAGTCTGGAAAACAAGCTAACTGTGAACAAGCAGGGGCAAGGAAGATAAAAGACAGGTGGGAAGCTGTAATTTATTTATTTATTTATTTATTTATTTATTTATTTATTTATCACTTGCTGCATTATCCCAAGACAACATGTTGAGACCCCTGCATTGCAGGGGGTTGGATTAGATGACCCTTGGGGGTCCCTTCCTACTCCATGATTCTATGATTCTAAGCACTCAGGGCAGATGATGACTATTATTATTATTATTATTTATTGTAGGTTATGAGAACCTTGCAGAGAGACCTCTAAATTATCAACAGTAGTTCTTGGAAAACAATGTGACAGAAGAAGCAAATGATCTCTAGAGCAACACTGTAGAACAGACAGGTGAATCCTACACTGTGGCAAAATCCTGTAGATGGATTCTGCAGGTGATTTATCTTAGTGGAAATCTGTAGAAGCCTTGTTTAGGTATTTACATTCCTGCAACTTTACTGCAAGGTTCCTGCAAGGTTAAGTGATCAGATGAAAAGACCATCTGCTTCTGTACCTTTAATGGGTAGAAGAGGGGATTTTTGCAGGTGTAACTCATTATGCAAAAGTGAAAAAGCTATATACCTATCCAAATTCCCTCTCTGACACTATTTAAGGCATTCAGCTGGGAGGGAACCAAGCATTTAAGGTGGAATAGACTTCAAAGCCAGTTAGGGTTGCAAGAGGGTAAAGTAGTAAGCAACTTGTAGAATAGGATCAGCAGAAAGTGTGTGTGCACTAACAGCTCGATCATGTGCTTCCTTCCCTATCTGCAGTGGCAAGAAGCTCATCTTTCAGTAAAATGAAAGAATGTTCTCCCTCACCCTGAAATACACACTTTATTCCAATAGCTAGCATTCCTGAGCCTATGTAATAAACATTGCAGTCACCATTTTTGTCATTATTCTATACTGCCATCCCCCCTCCCATAAAACAGAGATGAAAATGTCTCTCTGCTTCCAGACATACTGTGAAGATAAATGTACTTTACACACTAGGAAATTTAGTAATTCTATATTTCTTACAGGATTTGGTTGGCATGCTATAAAAGAGGACCAGAGCCACACAAAAAATGTTTATGAACTGTTGTTTCAAAACTCTTTCAAGGAAAGGTTGTGAACAAAACTGAGAAATCGGGTAATCAAGGGCTGTGCCATAGCATATATAAAAGCAGACAAATAGCACAATCCTCTGCATGTTGATTGTTAAGTCCCACTGAGTTCAAAATGGCTTACAAGTAGGCATAAAATCAAAAATCAACAACACAAGGATGGAGAACTTGTGACCCTACGGATGTTGTTGGAATCAATTCCAAGGGGGATGGGGCAGAGGCTTAGTGGTAGAATACATGCATTGCATGCAGAAGGTTGCAAGTTCAATCCCCAGGTATGGCTAGGAAAGATTCCTGGCCTGAAACCCTAGAAAACCACTGCCAGTCAGTGTAGACAATATTAAGCTAGATGGATCAATATTCTGACACATAAAGTAGAACTCTATCTTCTTAACAGATAGGTATAGGAACCTGGATTAATATTTCATATCCGAAGCGGAGTTCAGAGAGAATGTGGTTTTAAGGGGAGAAGTGGGGGAGGTATGTTACTTTATTCCCCAGCTGCTTCACCCAGATGTTTTCTGCAACACATTGTTTGCAGATAAGAGAAAACCAACTGAGAGAGGATGCTGCAGAAGAGAAGCAGCGGGTGGGGGTTGAACCCCACAGCCAACCTTTTCCTCCTCAAATCATGCTCTCTCTGTGTCGCCATTCAGCTGTTTGGCTGCAGACTCCCGTGTGCAAAGCCAGGCCACTGCCGAACATAACAGTTCCAGTTTAGGTTCGGTTTGCGTGGCCTACAACTATGGGATTGTTTGGCACATTTAAATACGTAGCATAGCTCCATGAAGCTGCCAATGGGCCATTCCATATTTTCATTCCTGTCTGACAGGACAACTTTCATTAGCTATAATGAAAAGATTTCAACTGCGCTGCATGGTGTGTGATACAATACACCTAACAGCCTCCTCTTTAATCCAGATATTTGGGCAGATTCTGGATCTGGGTTTGGACTTTTCAAGTACAGTTCAGTCTAACCCTATGAATGGAGTCAGGGCACCAGCTGACTCCTGCTACCTACGTGAGGACAGCCTGACCATAGGTGGCATACACACCTAAGACTTTAGGCATGTAGGCCTCAGCAGGACATCTTCCATGGAAAGTGAATGCTGGGCTGGGGTGCCAGTAGCATATATTAGGCCAGATTGGGTCCTTCAAATATAATCGATACTGACTCCTTGATGGAGAAAGCAAGACTGTAGCTCCTGTTGCACGTATTACATTTTGGTGCTTGCATGTGAACTATATCTATGTACCCCCAAACAAAAGCCTGATCCCCCCCAAAAAAAAAAATTCTGGCACAGATAGCAGGTAATTTTTTTTTATGTCAATTGCTTTGTGATCTAGAAACACAGACTTCTTACAGCCACAGGCTACATTCCTTAAAAGGAAGAGAACTATTAGCACCTTGATTATATTCTAAAGCTTAACTCCAGAGTAATATTTATTAACAACAAAAAGGACTGCTGGGATCAGAAGGGGTTTATGTCACAGAAGGAGCAGCCCTCAAGTTGAGAAGTCTCACCGGTTTCTATCTATTAATCTGCCACTATACACCCCTAAGTAGTCAAGGACTAGAAATTTTTGTTCCTGCTTCAAGTTGGTTCCTGAGCCCCTCTCCACAGGTGTTTTGTCCAAAGGAGAGTGTGAGGCCTGCATATGGCTGCTGGTATGAGCAGCCAAAATGGTTCCTCACAGTAGTAGAAAAGCTTGGCTCTGGGAAAGGAAATGCTGCGGACTGGGTGTATTTAGCATGCGTGCAGCGCATAAAATAAACAAGGTATGTGTGAGATTAATACAGCACCCCTAGTATGGTTTGTGATTGTCATGTGCGCATGATAAACAGAAGGCAGTCTATGATTTGAAGTATGTACTTTCTGGACTGTTCCGTCTGCACATTCATGTCTCGCTTTGAAGCTACTACTGTATGTGCAACCTATGTACAGCACTATAAGGTATACCTATAGATTATGTGGTCACCTCTTCAGAGCACGAAAACACCAGGCTCCTGAGGCGTCCAGTGTTCATTCTAAAATGATATGTTGTGACTAGGTTGTTAGAAGAGCAGCTGTGCTGCTGTTGCAGTTGTTCGCACCAGCTCCTTTGTCTTTAAACAAAGTAGTTCTGTTGTACTTGGAGGGCCTGCTTCTCCTGGGCCACTCTGGTCCTCTAATCACAACTGAAAATGGCACCTAAGGCAGGCCTGCTCCTAATATGTCCTGTGTGCAACCGTTTTGAAGATTAAATGATGTAGTCAGATGTTTATTTCTGCTGGTGAAATACAAAAATCCTTCTTTAAGGCTAAAGTTTTTCTTATTTCCAACAAGGATTTTTTCCCCCTCCATGTGATGAGTGATTTCCCCCCACCCCAATACAAATTGTGCCCTTTTCACTCAAGATTCTAGATTGGAGGTCAACAACTTTTGCCCATGAGCACATCTGGATCTTTGAGCAAACACTGTGAGCACCAAACTCTCTAATCGCTTCTCTCCCCCTCCTCAAAGAGACAGAAAAAGAGAAAGGAGGCACTTAGTTTTCCCAAGGGATCTGGATAAAAATCAGATCATGAAGAATTAATCCTGAAAAAAACATAGAACTGAAAAGTGGGAAAGAGTGTTACCCTTCCAACTCCTTCATTCAACTTTATGTACGGTATCTACTCAAATCTAATGCTCACCTTTGGCCAAATTACGTTGCGAAAATTAAGGTGTGCATCAGATTCGATCGCACATTTACATTTGCCAGCAAATACTTTCTTTGGTTTCAAGGTTCTGAAAATTGAGGTGCACATTAGATTTGATGGTGCATTAGACTCGAGTAAATACGGTACTTTTCAGGGGAGAAAAAGGTAATAGCTATTACCACCTCATGACAAAGGAAATAGTGAGGAGGGGGGCTCAGAGGCTTCATGGATGTCAGGGAAAGGCTGCAGGGATGCCACTGAGTTCATGGGCAGCGCCATGGCAACCCCCTTTTCTGAATTACTCTCAAGGCAAGCCCCTGCATAGTTAGAATTGAATGCATTCGCCTGTTTTTGCTAACTCAAAAATGTGCAATATACTTCATATATTCAGTTTTTTAAAAAAATAATAATATAGACTAGTATAAACAAGAATGCTCTAGATCAGGCAAGTACTAAAATTGCTACAAGTGCATAGATATTTTTTGCCCGTTTAAGCATTAGATTGACAGTACAGGCCTTCTCCGAGTTCAGTGGAACCTACTCCCAGGTCAAGTGTCAATCATATACTCACTTACCTGAAAGTAAATCCCACTGAACTATTTTAAACAGAAGTTATGGCTTTGGGACAGACTGAGGTTAGGAAGGAGCTGTTCCTTTTTGTGTGAAAGGGCCTTGGCTTCTCGTAAGCAGCTCAGATAACTTTATTTTATGGAACGGCATAGAAAGGTTGTGAATGATTAACTTGACACAAGTTAAGCACAACAACTCAAATAGGAGCACCCGGGTTATATGTCAATTAGCACAGAAGCTTGAGATTCATGCACAGCTATTAATTATTGTAAAATCCCACATACACTACACACTTGGGGAGAGAAAGACCCACCTCAGCCGTGTCCAACATGAAGTTTGAATCAAGTTGCCACTTTCTTTCCCGAAGGAGGTCCATTACCTTTTACCAACAGCATAGTATGCTGAAATCATACGGCTATGCTTTATCCATCCCTGCATCTTGAAGCTGACAGAAGAGTTCCCTGTCTGTCGCACACCTGTTGAAGGCAGAGCCCCTGTCAAACCCTCCACATGAACCACAAGCGCCCTCATTTCCCATAACTGGGTCTTGCTAGCCCAGGTTCAGTCCCACATAAAGAACACAGAGAAGCCTGGCTCTTGTTGTGAACAGCCTACTATGTAGTAGACTTCAAGGCCTTCTCAGTCACCTGCCTGCCTCAGTTACTGACTCCAGCATTTCTTAGCCTTTCTCCTCCCTCACAAGCAGCTGCATGTTTGTAAGTTTGAGTTTAGTCTATGAAATTGTTTTATTTAAACTACAACCACCCAGAAATTCCTGTGTAATTGCCGCACTGTACCACTGGAAAAAAAATAAAGTCCCTTCTAAGGGTAAACTGAGAGAGCACCTGCTAGTGCATTGTCTGTCTCTGTGTCTTCACTGTACACACAATCCTGCTGTACACACAATTCCAGGGCTGTGAATAATGCTGGTCTATCTTTATACAATATAGATATAATTTGGAAAGCGGCCTGAGATAGGAAGGGGGACACAACTATGCCATGATTTTATACCTGCTTTAAAACCAATTTAAGGCCTCCGCTTTGGAACTGGGAGGAAACCCTGTCAATTAAGCCTAATATGAGGCCAGTATAATATGTTAGAGTAGACATGTCTTGTGTTCTTTTCCACCTTCCACTCCCCACCGTCAACGCCCTACATAAAATTCCTGTTTCAGCCTGGGAAAGAGGCCCTGTTGCACAATCTTGCATTCTTCAAGCAAGAAACCTAACTTACTGATGTCCTCAAGATGCACAACATGGCCACCTAGAGACTACACACACGTTCATTGATTCCTTATCTCATTTATGGCATGTATGGGGAACCTATGGCCTTCCAGCAGTAGTTACTAGATCAGGAAGCCCAACCAGTCAACTAATAGCAGCAAGAATCTTGTCATTTTGTGCTTTACAATTTACAACAGCTTTCTTGCCTCCGTATTTGTATACTAGCTCGTGGCACTGCAAAAGGAACAAAGAGATGCAATTTCATGTCCCACCACATACCCTCCCCAGAAATGTATCCTTAGCA